GCGCGCTATTTATGGCCTCCGTCAGGCTCCCCGGGCATGGTATACTGCCTTGAGTAATTTTCTCCTCGAGTTTGGTTTCCAGAAGACTCACTCTGATGCGTCTCTCTTTGTCTACTCTCGTGGGGACGCTCTGCTCTATTTTTTGGTCTATGTTGATGACTTGCTCCTCACCGGTAACGATCCTGCAGCACTTTCCTCCTTTGAGGCCGCTCTCTCCAGTCGCTTCTCTCTCAAGGCCCTCAGTGATGTTAATTATTTCTTGGGTATTGAGGTCATACCCACTGCCACTGGCTATGTTCTCTCTCAACATCGGTATATGACTGATCTTCTTCATCGATTTATGATGACCGATGCTAAGGCTGCTCCCACTCCCTTGGCTGCTTCCACTACTCTAACTCTTGTTGATGGCACTTCTCCCACCGATGCTACACGATATCGACAGATTATTGGTGCCCTTCAGTATCTGGTCTACACTCGTCCCGACCTCGCCTATTCAGTCAACAAGCTATCTCAGTACATGCATGCCCCGAAGGCTTCACATTGGCAGTGTGTTAAGCGCCTTCTTCGCTATGTCGCCGGCACTCTTTCTTATGGTTTGGCTATTCGTCGTTCCCCGGGTCCCCTCACTCTATCTGCGTTTGCTGACTCCGATTGGGCCGGGAATCTTGATGATCGTTCCTCCACCTCTGGTTATCTTGTGTACTTGGGGTCCACTCTCATCTCCTGGCGCTCGCAGAAACAACGAACTGTTGCTCGCTCAAGTACTGAGGCTGAATATCGCGCCGTCGCCCATGCCACTTCTGAACTAGAGTGGGTTCAGAATCTTCTCCTCGAACTCCGGCAGCCGGTTCCATCTCCTCCCACGTTGTACTCTGACAACCTCGGCGCCACATACTTCAGCTCTAATCCGGTCTTTCACTCTCGCATGAAGCATCTTGCTTTGGATTACCATTTTGTTCGCCAGCTCGTGCAAGCTGGTCGTCTCCATGTTCTTTATATCCCCACTGCTCATCAGCTCGCCGATGCTCTCACCAAGCCTCTTCCAGCTACACGATTTCTTCTTCTCAGATCCAAGATCGGCGTCGTTGATACCTCCTCCGTCTTGCGGGGGCGTATTAGAGATAGTACAGAAAATTAAAAAGGCTTTTTATTATTTTCCCGGTTATATCTTTTCTGTTGCTATTTCTCTGGGACGTGCTAAGTGGGTTGCCTAGGTTGTTGGCTACCACTACTTTCACTCCGCTGATCTCTGTATAAATCTCCCACTGTAAATCCAATACTAATCAAGTTCTGTTCTCCTCACAACAATAATATTCACCAAAGCCTTTCATGGTCCACCGCTGCAATGTCCCATGCAAATTCTCCAGCACTTATAGACAGGATCATCGTTTGGCTCTTGATGTTGAGATGACGTCAGAGTAATGAAAAAGAACAAGACTATGGACACAATGAGAAAACGCAAAATCATGCTGGTCTTCATGTTGTGCTTTGCTTATCTTTCCCCCAAAGCCAAATGAGTTCAAACTTTTCGAGGCTATTGTGCTTAGAATCAGGTTTGGGCAATCATTTTATAGAGTTTCTTGATTCCATAAATAAGGAAAGAAAATCTAAACAATAACTCCATTATCAATATCCGGATTCTATGTGCATAGAATTTGTATGGATTTTAGTGCATCCCTATCCATTAAGATATAGAATAAAAATTACTTTCTTTTAATGTTATTGATGCTTTTTTTGAATACTCTACCAAAACTTAAAAGGTTGGAGCCTTGGAGATCATAAAATTGTTGCAAAAGCACAAAACTTATTCTCATCCATCTGGTCAAAGCACATCCAACCATGATAATTGAATGAGATATTTTGTCCAAATTTATCGACTTTGACCAGCGTGACAATCAATTATATAACTACGTGTAGTTAATCAAGAGTTTTTTTTTGGTAACTAAGATGTTAAATGATGTATCCAATAAAAGCATGTATTATAGGCTCAAGATAGGGTGCATAACCATGGGTTATGCACCCATCAATAACCAAATCTGGACCCTTCATTTAGAAAATCCAGATCTAAGAATGGAGAATTAAAGACTATTTTTATTTTCACTAGCTTTCTTAATTGACTCATATCTTTTTCGTTTTAACTCGGATTTTAATTTTTTTTTTTTTTTGCACAGATGGAACGAGTTCACCGTGCTCTACAAAATGAGATCAATTTTCAATTTTTTTTAGGAAAAAAAAATTCTGGCCTCTCGGTACCAACTGCATACCATATGGTATCTTCTTCGTTTTTAATTCGTTTTTGAAAACGTTTGCACAGCAGGGATGAGTTCATCATGATCTACTGGATCTACAAATTTCTGGGTGAACAAATTACAGGACAAAAAAATACCACACAATACCACCCTGGTACGGGGTGGTATTGTATGGTATCTTCTTCGTTTTTAATTCGTTTTTGAAAACGTTTGCACAGAAGGGACGAGTTCATCATGATCTATTGGATCTACAAATTTCTGGGTGAACAAATTACAGGACCAATGGTTATGCACCCTATCTTGAGCCGTAATTACCTATTGTTGAGGGAATTGTTGTTGTACTTAATAAGTTAATATGTGTTACAATTCTCAATGTCATAGTTATGATGATGTCTTCTTCAACACCATTACATTTTGTTTGCTAAAAGTAATACTTGTCGTTTTCTTCCTGTTATGAAAGCGTTGCTAGGATCGGGAAATCGCCGGAATCGAGAAGGCAAGAATACAAAAGCGAGAATCGAAAACACGACACACGATTTGCGTGGTTCACTAACACGATGTGTGTTAGCTAGTCCACGGGCGAGAGAGAGCCAGTTTCACTATATCGAGGAGATTACAGATTACAAAGGAGATGAGAAATATTTATACTTCTCCATGTGGGTCTAAACCCAATCCAATATGGCAAAGGAAACGGTTACAGACCAGAACAAGAACCCGAGACATTTCCAAACAGTCGAGGCATTTCTTGAGCCACAACATACACCTTGAGTGTAATTACGTGAAAAAAGCACCTTGTGAGATCCAAAAATTCCTCCTTCCCGTAAAATTCTCCGTTCCTGCCAATATTCATGCCAACGCCAACATTGCATAATGTGCATTTTCACATAAGTGGGAGGTATATCTTAGATTGAAAGGATTAAAGACTATAAGTTGTAAATCTGGGTATTACCACACTACAAGAAAAATGGCTTTTTGCAACCAATAAAATTGGTTCCTAAAGATCAAAAATTGGTTATAAATACCTTTTTGCGACCAAAATATTTTGGTAGCAGCATTGGTCGCTATAGCTGCGTTACTAATTGGATGGTCAATAGAGTTGACCGTTAGTCAATGGCCAGCTCACTTGGCCACATCAGCGAGCAGAAAATAAAATATTGTTTTTTTAATTTCTATATTTTTATAAGGAAGGAAATAAAAAATTATATTTATTATTATAATAAAGGGAAAAAATATAGAAATTCAAAAAATAATTTTTTTTTTATTTTCTGCTCGCTGATGTGGCCAAGTGAGCTGGCCATTGACTAACGGTCAAACCCGCCTCAAGGCCAAATAAGGAAGTATGATACATAGCTCAGGCCAGAAGAGCAATCTCCGAAACCACAGGCTAAAGTAGAAAGTTTGTGTCTAGTTCGGACCAAACTAAGATATTAACCCTATTACATTCCATAGTCATACAATGGTAATTATTTGGTAACAAAGAAAGGACATATGATTCTATCCTAACCTTGATTTGCAACAATACCGGTTACAACAATTCCCGAATCTTCCTTCGGACGACATTTTGTAAGACATTCATCATCGCACAGCCATGGTCCATCGTTACAATGTCCCATGCAAGTAAGGTAGCACTTGTAGACAGGATCCTCAGCCGTCACTTGATGTTGAGATGACAAAGTAATTAATAAGAACAAGACTATGACCGCAATCATCGGACCCCAAATCTTGTTGGTCTTCATGTTGTGCATTGTTGATCTTCCTCAAACCCTTAGATGTGTGAATCAGTTCAAACTTTTTGAAGTGGTGGTTTTGCTTTGAATCAACATTTGAACAATCATTTTATAGAGTTTCTTCATTCCATAAATATGGAAAGAAAATCTAGACATTAACTCCATCATTAATTATTATATGGATTTTATGTGCATTCAATATGTATGGATTTTATTGCCATTTGTATTCACTAAAGATAAAGTAAAATTTACTTCTTTGTAATGGTATTAATTATTTCATTTGACTAATCTACTTTTTTTTTTTGCGCATTGCAATGAGGTAGAGGCCAAGCAGGAAGAAAATTAGACTAGGGGAGGGTGTAGAGTAATTCGTGATCAGCTCGAAAGGGACTCCCATAATATCCTCGTGAAAATGCTTGCTAGGCCGGGTAACTCATGCATATTGCAGGGATAGATGAGACTATGCTTTAAAAGTCAGTCTGTAACTTTATTTCTTTTTCGGTATGTATGAGTGATGCTCACTAGGGATGGCAATGGGGCGGGTTTGGGGCGGGTTTGTCTAAACCATCCCCATCCCTATCCTCATCTTCAAATACCCAAACTCATACCCATGCGGGGAATGTTGTGCAAACCCATCCCCATACCCGTGGATTTCGAGTACCCATGAGTAATACCCGTACCCGTCATCCAACATTATTATACCTAAAACTTATAAGAAAAGTTTTAATTATAACTCAAAATGAGTTACAATGATTGTACATGACTTAACTCGCCTATCCTCTGAGCTGATAATTCCACATTCGGCTAATTTCTACTTTCAAGCTGCAAATACGTTCATCATTGTTGAGGTCTCAAACATATTAACAAACACGTTCTAAAACATAAGAAAACTGAGTGACATAGTGATATGGAAACAACCTAGGTCATTTTGCATTCTCATTTCTCACTACTCCGGGTGCAGCTCACGAACTGGCGGCACATTTTCGGATTTTCCCTCTATCTTTTAGAGCTTTTTCATGGCAGCCCAATTTCAATTTCGTTGGGCCTCTCGAGCTGCCTTAAATCTGGCCCAGCCCATGAGTGTTTTCCCACCATATCCAATCCGACCTCCGATCGAAACCAGACGTAATCACCTCCATCCTTTCGAGTGGCCGTAGTTCCTCCGGCCTCCACAATCGGCGTCGCCGACTTCTTCCTCTCCGGCCTCTCCATCCCTTCCCGTCCACTCCCACTTGACAGAAACGAAGAAGAAGGAGAAGGGAAGCATAAGAAGATTTCTCTTCTTTTCAAATTTTAGAGCAAAAATAGTAAACTCAGCCATTTGTGTATATAAACTGGACTTCGGCGAAACTAACTTCCGGGCTCCGGCCGGCCTTTATCTTCTGCGGAGGACGGTGACAGCTGTTGTTCCTGCCCTACTTCATCTTGTCAGGTCGGTTTTCTCGGCGGTAAAACCTGGTTTGCTTTGAAAATTTTTAACTTTTTCCTCCGTGTTCTTGTGTTTCATAACAAGGTGTTTTGAGCCTCACTGAATGTGAGTTAGCATTAGATTTGAATCTGCCGATGGTGCAAATGGGTCATTGTTTGAACCTTCAGGCTTGAATTGCTGCAGACATCTACGTTTGGTTCCAAATGCAAGTCTCCAGTAGTTCAATTCTGCCACCGGGGTATGGTTTGTTGTTCTGAAAATCGGTGGCTTGCTTATCTCTTAATCAATCAATTTGCAGGTGCAGATAGAGAATTACGTGTTATCTAAGGTGGAGGGTGATTGACTTTGTAAACATGGCTTCCACATTGTTCAGGAACGTAATCCAAGCTCAGCCTTTGTTTCTGAATTCATCTGCTTTGCTTAGAAGGAAGAATGGGGTTTTGTATTGCACAATGAAGAGCACCTCACATTCACATACTCAGACAGCCACAGAAGAAAAGCAGCAGCAGAAGAGTCCACAAAAAATCAAAGTTCCTCCTCAGAAGCAGATGAAGGAAGTTAGTAAAATTGGAGCAGATTATGAGGCAGTCATTGGCATAGAAACCCATGTCCAGCTTTCTACATTAACCAAGGCTTTCTGTAGTTGCCCTTACAGTTATGGTGCCCAACCAAACACCTGTATCTGCCCAGTTTGCATGGGTCTTCCGGGTGCTTTGCCAGTTCTGAATTCCAAAGTCATCGAGTGTGCTGTGAAACTAGCCCTTGCACTGAATTGCAGGCTCTCTTTCAGTTCCAAATTTGACAGGAAGCAGTACTTCTACCCAGACCTTCCAAAGGGCTACCAAATATCTCAGTTTGATATCCCAATTGCAACTGGTGGATCTATTGACCTGGATCTTCCACTTGAATTTGGTGGTGGTCATAGGAGGTTTGGTATCACAAGAATTCACATGGAAGAGGATGCTGGCAAGCTAATGCATTCAGGAAATGGGAGTTACTCGCAGGTATTTGTGTTTTTGCCATGTTCTTTCGCATTTGTTTCCCAGCTTCTCGCTACAATCTGTTTGTGTTTGCTTCTTTGATCTACACGCCTGTTTCTTGATAAATTTTGCTAATAATAAGTGGTTATAATTTTTGGGGGATTGTTTCTTCATTGTTAACACTATCTTCTTTCCTCAACAAATGAGCAATCACCCTTCGCAGGTTGATTTGAATAGAGCTGGAGTCCCATTGTTAGAGATCGTCTCAGAGCCAGATATGAGAACTGGCATTGAAGCTTCTGAGTATGCTGCAGAACTTCAAAGGGTTGTTCGGTACTTGGGAGTCAGTAATGGTAATATGCAAGAAGGTTCGCTACGCTGTGACGTGAATGTCTCTGTTCGACCGATTGGACAGGCAGAATTTGGGACAAAGGTATTTTGTTTCTCTCTCAAGAAGCCTGTTTCCAGTCACAGTTATTTATATAAGCTGCATAGTTTTCATCCACCTATCAATATTAGGATTGAGCCAACTTATTCTTGTTAAAGGTTGATGATTTGGTTTTTGGCATTCTCAAAAGTTTGTGTTTGATGACAGTATTTGCTCCATGGCCTCCCTGATATACTTTGCTTCACCTTTTATTTGCAGGTTGAGATAAAAAACTTGAACTCCTTTTCAGCAATTAACAGAGCTATTGACTTCGAGATATCAAGGCAGGTCAATCTACATAGTCAAGGGCAACAAGACTCAATTGTACAGGAAACTCGGCTATGGGAAGAAGGTGCACAGGTCGTATCTTTACTGTTGATCTCATTATTATATCAACAAAAGAGGGAAAGTGGATGGTTTTCTTTGAAAATACAACTGCAACTGATCCAATACCATTTCTTGTTCAGAAAACAGTTACTATGAGGAAAAAGGAAGGGCTAGCTGATTACCGATATTTCCCCGAACCAGATCTTCCTGAAGTCGTTCTTACAAAAGCTTATATGGATAGTGTTGGTAAATCCTTGCCTGAGCTTCCAGAAGCAAAACGTAGGAGGTACGAGGAGATGGGATTGAGCATGCAAGATGTTCTTTTCCTTGCAAATGACATAGCAGTAAGTCCTGGTTTCAAATCTATGAGTCTGGGTTCTCTCCAATATGCATGGTGTTTGTTTTCCTAGGGATCATATCATTTCATCCAAGACATTGCTTGTTCCCCCCTGAATCAGGTGGCAGACTTTTTCGATGCGACAATTCAGAAGGGTGCCGATGTGAAGCTAGCTGCAAACTGGATCATGGGTGATATTGCTGCCTACCTGAAGAATGAGAAGTTGTCGATAAATGATATCAAACTTGTGCCCCATGAGCTGGCTGAGCTGATAGCTTCTATTAAAAGCGGGACTATTAGCGGGAAGATCGGAAAGGAGGTAAAAACTAGTCTTGGTTCACTTTACAATGCTGTTGATCAGTTCTAACTGATGTCTTCTGTTTTGCTTTCAAACCGTTTACAGATACTGTTCGAACTCTTGGCCAAAGGTGGAACTGTGAAGGGACTGATTGAAGAAAAGGACCTTGTCCAGGCAAGTTATTGTTTTTCACGATGTTTCTTGCATAGAGTGGGTGGGTGGAGCTCTTGGTTCAGTCAGTTATTCGCGTCTTTTGGGGAAAACAATGCAGATAACAGATCTTGTTGATATTGAGAAGATGGTCGATAAGGTGATTGCTGAGAACCCGAAGCAGTTGGAACAGTACAGATCCGGGAAGACAAAGCTACAAGGTTATTTTGCCGGCCAGGTAACGAATTGAAGTGTGCTTGTGTTTACTGTTATCAGGCACCACCACCCTCTCTATTCATGGCTCAGAAATGTCATTTCATGTGTCTTTCACTGAGCAGGTAATGAAAGCATCAAAAGGCAAGGCCAACCCGGGGATCTTGAACAAGGTGCTCGTCGAGAAACTCAATGCCAAAGTCTGAAGGCAACACACTGGCAGATGCTTGCAGGAAGGAAAGCCATGTCCAACGATATAATACGCTGCACTTCCAACACACTGCAAACAGGATGGAATTAGAGCCTCAATCTGTCAATCATTGACAAGGTTATGTTCACATGCAGAGGGTTTGATGATGTATAGGTTATTTGTTATCTGTTGTTAAATTGTTTATACTAATCTTGATTCTTCATGAATGAATAAGTTTATTTCCGCCAAAATAAAAAACATGAGTTCAGCTGCTGAAAGGAACAGACTTTTAACCCCCCAAAGATCATATACAACCAATCAAGACAAAGTCACTAGACATCAACACTACAAATCCAAAACATGAGTTCTGCAACGGGTAGATCACTAGATCCGCCAAGAGTGCGACGATGTGTGCTGCGTTGGAGATCCCTGAAAGAGAAAATATCGGCCGCTACTTAGGCGTTCCAGTTATTCATGACAGGGTATCCAAAGCTACATATATTGATTTGATCGAGAAAATCGATACACTTCTTGCAGGTTGGAAGGTGGAGACCACTACCCGCGGATGTGTGTGGTTCGTTTTTCTTATCAGGTCATGGTCAAAACTGATCAACCGATGGGTCGACCCGCGGGTGCAACCTTAACCGTGACCATAAAAAAAAAAAAAAAAAAAAACCAAACCATAGCAGCCGCCGTAAAGGAGAAGGAGTAATGTATTTCGACATAAATAAAAAGGGTAAAAGCAGAACTCTTCGAGCTCCGTGCTGTTTGTTTCCATGTTGCAATCCCAAACTCCGCCTTCAATCCGTCTCTCTGCGCCATGTCAACCGAGAGATGCAGCACCTTGGATCGGGATCCACCGCTGAGCGAACAACTCCTTGGTGGCGGTTCCCGAAAGCGAGAACGAATCGGTTCAGACCCAAATCCTCTGATCCGAAAGCTCGGGACCGATCTCCTCGTAGAGATTCTGATTCGCCTCCCGGACCCTAGATCCGCCTGCCGCTGCAAAATCGTTTGCCAGCTGTGGAGGTCCGTCATCTCCAATGCCTCCTTCAACCGCCGTTTCCTTTCTCACCGCGAGATCATGACTCCGGACGATCTCAAATCCATCGTCCTCAGCTTCCTCGCTCCCTTCCCTAATGGGGTTAAAGACCGAGACGCGCTCAGAGTTTTGCACTGCGACAAGGACCTGGTTCTGTGCGGGTTTTGGGATAAAGCTTGCGACAATGGGGAACACAGCAGATCGTACCTCGTCTGCAATCCGTTCACGAAGCAGTGGCATGGTCTTCCTTTGGCGCCCAGGAAGTTGATCGAGTATTTATTTCCGGTCACAAGGTTAGTCTGCGAACCCCAAACATCTGAGAATAGTAGGTTCCGGGTGGTTTGTATGTATCAACGGCTCACGCCGGCATCGATAAGACTAGACGTGTTTTGTTCGGAGTCTGGAGAATGGATTAAGGATGCTCTTGTCCGCGATGGTCATATGAAATGGGGGACCAAAAATGTAGTTTCTTGCAAGGGGGAGTTGTTTTGGAAGTATAAAGAATTCCCTGGCAAGAAGGATGAATTCGTTGATGTGTTTAATCCGTTCCGGCTTGATATGCCTCCCGCTTCCATTGATGTCTCTGAGTTTGTTGCGAAACCGGGCTGGTCTCTTGCAGTCTCTCAGGGCGCTCTGCACGTAATAGCGCGAGAAAACGAGGCTCCTCCTTTTCGCTCGAGCATTTGGAGGTCGGAAGAAGACCGTAAATCTTGGAGAAAACAATGCGAGGGGCTGGTGAGCAGTACGTCGTCAAAGTGTTGTAACTATGAACCACAGGCCTTTGGTACACCCTTTCTGCATCCACAGAAGCCGGAAATTGTCTACTTCTGCGGAATCCGTGATGCAAATGTTGTATTGTGCAGCGATTTGAGGAAGGAAGTGGTTGAGTTGTTCGCCAAACCAGAAGGGTCAGAAGATGTCCTTTACTCTCTGGTGTTCTCTCGTTGGGCTACTCCGATTCCGAATTTCGAGAAGTTGCGAGCCATGCACAAGAGCAGTAGTGATCCTGTTCCAAAGTACAGAGAAGTTTCTAGGCATGGTGTTCCTGCCAAGGGTCTTTCGTTGCCCTTGGTTAGGCATAAAAAAAGAAGGAAGCATAAGTTGGCGTACAAAGGTTTGGTTCAATCCAAAGGTTTTAAGATTGAATCATAGAGTGGACTTTCTTCATCGAAACACAAAAAGAATGCTAAGGTGGTAAAATTGTGACAGCAGAGACATGAACAGATAGGGCAAAGAACCAGGAGGCCCTTTAAGAAACAACGAGAGACAGCGATGAGAGCTTCATTATGACATTTTGATGTTCTTCTACAGCTGCTGTTATCATTGAGCTACCTGCCGCCGTTCATCTTCTTTAGCTCGAGGAAGTAATTTCTGTAACCAAATATCTGTTGGCATCTTTTCATGGTGAACTATCAATGAGACTGCCGTGTTGTGAGTCCTCTTGGTCCTAGAGGAAAGACAGCATCTCTGCAAGCTTTCCACGATCCAGTTGTAACCATCTTTGTACTTCCTAAGGATGCAAAGCTCGGATGATTTTATGGTTCTGCTAATTAATTCTTTATATATTCAATCTCAGTGGGACTGCTAGTTTTTTCTTTATATATTCAATCTCAATCGGACATGGCGGTAAGTTTATTTCAGCAGAAACTATGTGCATGAAGTTCAGCTGGGGAAAGGAGCAGGCTTCTAACCCCTAAAGGAAGTAATCAAGTCACTAGACAACAAGACCCCCTGCAATTTGCTCTGCTTTTCTTGCAGCCATAGCTAACTAGTTGATACATGCGCATTAGACTTAATACGAGCACAATTGTGCTTGTTTGAGATCAAATCACGCAGCACAAAATCCAATCGAAAAACGGATTGAATTTGATCAAAACTTAAATCGAAAAACGGATCAAAGGTGCAATCTTTCACGTGGAAGAAGGCTCGATTGGTTTGAGATGAGGTGAGGCCACGATTGATGAGGTTTCAATCGATACGAAGCAAGCTTGTCGCTGGAACTTGACCAACACACAAGGTTTTGGTGACAAAGTCACAATTTTCCTATTCAATCTACTCTACCTTTTACACGAGGCTTCCAAGCCTTTAATTAGACAATTGACAACTTAAATCGAACTCTAAACAAACAAGGAAAACGAACCTAACTCTAACTCAACAAGGAAACAGAATCCAAACCAACAAAGGTAACAAAACTCGATTACTTCACACCCAAGCTTCTGCCTTCCTACGCAAGCAATCAAACCAGCCCAGCTCGATCTGCTCGAAGGAAGAAAATGGGTTGGGCCAATTCAATAAAGTCGGCCCTGGCCCAAACAAAAGTATATAATAAAAAAAAAACTGACCCCTTTCAGCTGCCGCAAAGGAGAAGGAGTAGTTGGTTTTGACATAAAAAAAAAAAAAAAAAGAGGATTTCTGACCTCTTCGCCGCTGCAATTCCAATCTCCGCCTCCCACCGCCGAATCCTTTCTCCTCCATCCCGGCGTGCGCTATATATCCCTTCAATCCGTCCTGTCGATGCCATGGCGACCGAGAGCAGCGAACAACTCCTCGGCGGTTCCAGAAAACGGGAACGAATCGATTTAGAGGCAAATCCTCTGATCCGAAAGCTCGGGGACGATCTCCTCGTAGAGATTCTGATTCGCCTCCCCGACGCTAGATCCGCCTTCCGCTGCAAACCCGTCTGCCAGCTGTGGTTCTCCGTCATGTCCGATGCCTCCTTCAACCGCCGCTTCGTTTCTCACCGCCAGATGATGACCTCCGACGATCTCAAATCCATGGTACTCTGCTTTCTCCCTCCCCACTTTCATCATTGTTATGGAGTTAAAGACCGAGGCGCTCTCCAAGTTTTGGATTGCGACAAGGACCTGGTTTTATGCGGGTTTCGGGATACAGATTTCAAGGACAGGGCACAGACCAGATCGTACCTGGTCTGCAATCCGTTTACGAAGCAGTGTTATGATCTCCCCCCAGCGCCCAGGAAGTTGATAAGGTATGTAGCTCCGGTCACAAAGCTAGTTTGTGAGCCGCAAACATCCCGGAATAGGTTCCGAGTGGTGTGTATATATCAAGCTCTCCAGGATTCTATCAGACTAGACGTGTTTTGTTCCGAGTCTGGAGAATGGACCAAGGATGCTCTTGTCTGCGATGGTCATGTCAGGTGGACTATAAAACCTATAGTTTCGTGCAAGGGGGAGTTGTTTTGGATTTATCGAAAAAACCCTGACACGGTTACTCTATTGGTTGATGCGTTCAATCCCTTCCGGCTTGATGATACGCCTCACACCTCCATTGATGTTTCTGAGTTTGTTGTGAAACCGGGCTGGTTTCTTGCACTTGCAGTCTCTCAGGACGCGTTGCACTTTATAGCGCGGGAAGACGAGGCTCCACCTTCTCGCTCGAGCGTCTGGAGGCTGGAAGAAGACCGTAAATCTTGGAGAAAACAATGCGAGGGATTGCTGTACAGTACATCAAAGTGTGGTAGCTATGAATTGAAGAAGGGCTATAACGAGCCCTTTCTGCATCCACAGAAGCCGGAAATTGTCTTCTTTAGTGGGGCTGGAAGAGGTGAAGGTAACAACAATGTTGTATTGTTCAGCGATTTGAGAAAGCAAGAGTTAGAGTTCTTCGCTAAACCAAAAGGATCGCTAAGGCACTTTCTGGTCTTCCAGCCAAGGGTTTCTTGTTGGGATGCTCCAATTCCGAATTTGGAGAAGTTGCGAGCCATGCACAAGAGCAGTGATCCAATTCCAAGGTACAGAGAAGTTGCTGCAAGTAATGGTGTCTTGTTGGGCTGCTCCAGTTCCAAGGTAAAGGTACGATATACCAGAAAAAAGAAGACATCCAAGGTGCGAGAAATTGCAAGGCAGCATGAACAATTGGATTAGTGAATCACTTGTTACAAATTGAAAAAGAAACTATTTTTTCTGTCATATGTATTTATTTATGTTAAAGTAACTATTTTTATTTTTAGATGCTACTTTGAGTGGTTTTGGTGATTGTTTGGTTGAGATAGTTACAAGGAATGCGTTAGGGTGATTCCTCAAAATTGAGTAATCACCGTGGCTACTAAAATCTACACTCTTTATTATCTTTATTTCATCCTAATTTTAATTTGACGGTGAAGATTAGATTAAGGGTAATTTTGAGAATAAAAAAAATACCACACCTGATTTTTATCCTTTAAAAAATTAATTTCTATATATTATATATCTAAACCCTACTCTAACCCAATTCTCTATCGCCGTCAACACCTCTTCTGTTGTTGGTTCCCTTCCTCCGCTGGCGGCGGCCGTCCTCCCAAAGCAGACCACCCTCGGCCAACCTCCCACTGTCGGCAGCCACCCCTCCACTCCGGCTACCCTCACCCATCGCTACCCTCTCTCTCTCTCTCTCTATATATATATATATATATATATATATATATATGGGAGACGGCTGTGGGCGGAAAAGGTAGGATGAATAAAAATCCTAGATCTGATTTTTTCCCCATTGGTAGTGATTTTTTCGTAGTGGTAGTATTTTTTCGTATTGGTAGTGATTTTTTCGTAGTGGTAGTGTTTTTTCGCATTGGTAGTGATTTTTTTGTAGTGGTAGTGTTTTTTTGCATTGGTATTGTTTTTTCCGCATTGATAGTAATGTTTTCGTAATGGTAGTGTTGTTTCGCATTGGTATTGTTTTTTCCACATTGGTATTGATTATCATGTAAGTGTATTGCTTTTTAGTGAAATGGTAGTTTTCTTTTTCTGTACTAGTAGTGTTTTTCACATTGTTATTATTAGTTTTTTTTTTTTTTTGCATTGGTATTGATGATTATGTAATGGTATTGATTTGCATGCATTGATATTGATAAATCTGCAATGGTAATGGTGTTTTGTGAAATGGTAGTGTTTTTATTTCTCGAATGGTATTGGTGTTTTATGCATTGGTATTGTTTTTTTAATGGATTGATATTATTTTATTGTTGCAGCGGTATTAGTTCGGCTAACAAAAACAAGGAAAAGATTGAGGAAAAAAAAAGAGAGAGATCTAGCAGGAGATTGTGGAAGTGAGAGAAAGAGAGAGAAAATTGTAATTAATATATTTTTGTAACTTCCTAAAATGTAATTTGTTAAAAAAGATAATTAATAAATTTTTTGTCATACCCAATTTGCCCTTAGTAACCACGGTGATTACTATAAAATGATTACTATTTTATAGTAATCACCGTAACCTGTCCCATAGTTACAATACATGTATTGTTCACAATGCACTGTTTTTTTGAATTTTCTGCACAAACAATAAATGCATTGTTTGCTTGATTTGACACAAACTATCACTCAAAATGAGTGATAGTTAAATCTCAAGTTTTCGGTGAAATTGTTGAGATTGTTTGGTTGAGATTGTTGTGTGTTTTTTTGCTTCCAACTATGTCCCTACCTTTTTATGTGTCTTGCCTTTGTATATTACAACCAAAGGGTGAAAGTGACATTTCACCCAAAAAGTAATATAACTTATTTAAATAACACAATAACTATCACAAAAACCAAACGATGTAATCTACAATACACCAATTTTTATATATACATGTATATTATTATGCATGCATTGATGACAATCCATCTATTTAACTATCACCAAAACCAAACGACCCCTAATTTTATGTCAGCAGAAACTATGTGCATTAACTTCACCGGGAAAGGAATATGTGATCCAAGGGAGGCTAGTGTAGGGGTTATGAAGTATGTTCTTGTCATGAAACTTGGATCCGTTTTAAAAGAAAAACGTATGGAATGGTACTTCATATCACTCCTGTCGAGTTCTCGAACTCCTCTTCAAAAGAAGAAGTCTTCTGCACTTAAAGCAAAAATGTGGTCGACATATAGCTTCGTACAATTGATATTGTACCACGTAAAGTCTACATCAATAGACGATGTCGTCGCAAATAAAGTGTGGGGTAAAAGGCAAGTGTGAAGTAGGGGTGGGCATTCGGTCGGTTCGGTTTCGACCGAACCGAAATTATGAATAATGGGTCCCCGAATTCTCCCAAACCTCAAACCGAATTCGAACCGAATTTGTGAAGCTATTTGTATTTTCTCACTTTTAAATTATTTTTCACCCATAATATAAACAATAAATATCAATTATATGCATCATCAATGATAAAACCAAACTTTTCAACACATAAGTCATAAAAAATTTCAAATATTTAAGTCTAAAACAACTATGAACATAAAAATCCACCATTTGAAGCTTGCAATTATAGTATTTCGGTTTTTCGGTCGGAAATTCGGAAATTCGGTTCGGTTGAAAGAACCCTGATTTCCGAACTATCCATATTTTCCTTCCGAATTCCGAACCGAATAGCATTAATTCGGTTTCGGTTCGGTTTAGTTCGGTTTCGGTTCGGTTCGGGTTTACCGAACCGTTTGCCCACCCCTGGTGTGAAGCATCTTATCTTTGGAAAATTCAGGTTTTGGAAGAGATACTAGTTGATTCTTGATGTGGCAGGCCTAAGAGATGATGTTAGTTCCTCTCTAGTACAAGTAAAATTTTCACCCATATGATAGGATTGTCAATTTAAGGATGTGTTTTCAAGAGCGCAGATAAAACTTCCGACACCCCTTGACTTCATTGACCATTTGCACGATCGAGGAAAGTAGCAAGCGCTCTTGCTTGATCAGACTTGCCAAGTACCAAAGTACGAGGCAAAACATACCCCCTTCTGCAAACATAGAAGCATGAAAAGTGCAATGTGGCATGGCAAGATCGTCTTAATACGAAAAACGTCTAAAAAGAGTTACGTGGGCAGGAATGCAAGTACTTCCTAATCAAGCTACAAAGGCTCCTGACTCACTCCTACTGTCACCCTAGAAAATGGCCAAGTATAACCACTTCCTAAAGCGTAGTATAGCGGGTCGGGTTTTAATGTCAACCCAGGTCCTAGATGTGATGACTACTCGGTGAATTCTTGTTATTTAGCGGTGAACTTTTAGTGAAACTCAAGCAAACAAAACACAAAGCAAGTAAACGGTTTGTTGTCAAGTCAAGAGAGGTCACCCGGATATGGTTTCCCCCTAGACTGCAGTTAAGTCGGATTGCATTTTACCAAGTTCAGTTTTCATGAAAGTTATACTGCGGAAGGTTCTCAATTAGCCTGAAGTCTCGACTAAAGGTCTCCAGACCCTCTCAATCTGAGTCTCTAGCGGGCGACTAACCTCCACCGGAGTAAACAGATTGAGGCCCTAATGAACCAAACCTCCACTACCGAATCGACTTCGGTACAGAATAGCGAATTGGCTCCTCGACTAAAGTCACCAATTCGCTACCTTCGATTAAGGGTACTCTATCAACCTAGGCAGATATTCTCATTCCAGGTTAAAGCAGAAACAACAGGAATTTGATCAGGATTCAAGTCATTCAATCAATCAAACCTCAATCGAATATAATCAATTCACAAACACTGTACTTGGGTTCATACAATCAGACCTAGCATACAAATCTAGGGTTCTCCATACCCAGATGAATGGGGAAACTACTCCATAGAGAAAGAAGCAAAAGCAGATTCAGACACGGAAATCATACTGTGAAGTTGGATTCCTGCTTCTGGACGTTTAATCGCACTTCTCCAAGCTCAAGACGGGCTCCAATGGTGTTGAAGATCGATCTATGGCGCTTGAGAACTCTGGTTCGACGCTTTCTCTCTCTAGGTATCGGTTTCTCTCTCAAAAACTCGGAACCCTTTGAAAATTGGCCTTCTTCCTGTTTTATCAGCTGCCTGTCGCGATACCCGGTCAAAATACCCGGTCGGGTATTTTATGGTTCGACCGGGTATTTTATGAAACGCACCGTCTGACTAAGGGGAAAATACCCGGTCTACCACCAAAATCCCCGACCGGGTATTTATCGCCATCGCCCGGGCCCCCTTCTGCTTCTCACGGGTGCCCGAAGGAGGAAATACCCGGTCGAGGTCAGAATATACCCGGTCGGGTATTTCTTCCTTTGACCGGGTATTTTGGTCCAGCAGCATCCTTTGTCCAATCTTCGCTCCTTTCGATCCAGAACTCGTTCCTTCGCCTCGATTCCAACGCCAGGACCTGAAATATGACATAAACACACAACCTAGCGTAAAATCGGCTTAAAATACGAGATTCCTCATCACAAACGACTTCAGAATAGGGGTGAAAACATGTATGATTATCGGTCTATCAAACTCCCCCACACTTAACCGTTTGCTTGTCCCCAAGCAAACCAAGTCAGACACTAGGTAAGCTTACATATTTCAATCAACCAACACTGGGGACAAGTCATAAAGGCACAAAACACGTGAATCGCACTGGTTTTCAAACATTAATACATGCACAACCTCAATGACAACCTGGACAACCACCACAAAGGACATTCGAATGCAGCAAATCGAGTAAAGGAAGAGTCTCTCGTCTGTTCACTAGCCAACCTAGACTTGATTCAACCACCTACTCAAAACAGTCAACTCATGCATCCAACTCAAAACATCAGAATAGAGACCGAGCAATCTAGGTCCTCACCGGGGTACAAGAGCATATAGAGAATGGAAATGAATCGCTCACTCTCGACCAGTGGGGTCAGGACATTTTTTGATGCGAAAGATGCGCATGCTATTTCTCTCAATCCCTATCATCTCTTCACCATGATGGCAGCCTCTAAATGCTAGAGTTCACATATGGGGTGTCACCACTAACTAATCAGGAGGTCTTAGACACAGGTTCATATGACTGGCTAGGGTCTTGGACATGGGGAAAAGGCCTTTTAGGTGGTGGAAGTATTCATAGCAAAAAGGTTCCACATTTTCCAAACACACAATCACAGTCAACCAACCCGGTATTTTCTTTCTGCTATTCTGCATTCCTCAATATCTTAAGAGCACAAGAGCGAAGGAGGCATAATCATCAGCATTTCCAAGCCAGACTGCTAAGAAACACTGCTTACTAGGCATTACTCAGATTGTTGGTAGTGGCTCTCTTTTGCTTTCAATTTTTTCTTTGTTTTTCTTTTATTTTTCTTTTCATTTCTTAAGAGAGCCACCACTTCTGCACAATTCAAACATCAGCCCCACTTTTAAGCACTACCTCCAACACTCACATAGACTTTAGCAGAAACAGC